TGGAGTTGAAATAAAGTCGCAGCCTTCAAATTGAAAAGCTGTTGAAAGTGGGAGGGTCAGATGCTCAGATGGTAGGTATCACATGCAGAGCACAATGCCAGAGGACCTGAGTCAAGAAACATCTGTTGACAACCTGGCTGGTGGATCTTAACCTGATTTTACCTTCAAATTAAGCAAATGTAAAAATTCTGACACCAAAAAGAGGTTTCTATGAAGGACTTCCAAACATCAGTGAATGATGTAGGAAATCTGCTTGGTATTTATGGGATTTCATTTTAAATTAAAACAAACACACAAACAAAAAAGCACCCGACTTTAGCATAGACTTAAGGTAATTTAAAGTTTCACTGCTTCTCTGAAGAGCACCTTTCTGTCCAACTCGTGCTTTTGTGGCTGAATGCCTTTTTCTGAGCTGCCAGCCAAGACATCCCAGTCTCAGAGGGTGAATGCAGCTCCCTTCCCCTCTCACTCACCACCAGACAGGAGAATCCAGCCAGATAAGCTGGGCTTTGACTTCCACATGGATTAAAAAAATGAAGGGCACTGCAACGATAAGCCAAGCTGTAAAGCAACTCCACTGTCTCCTCAGAAATACGATCATCATCATTACTGCATAGAGACGAGCCTTGTGTAGGTTACAGTTCTTCTCTGCAAAGCATCCCTCCTCCCTCGCATTGAGTTCTCACCTTCCAGACATGCCTGAACTAAAATCCTGCGTAAGGACTGCTGGCTGAGTCTGCCAAGCCTAATTACCAGAGTTATTAATTACCTAAATGTTTAATTCTTACCATGATTACATGTATTTGTTGTTACAATTTGGCACAGCTCAAAAATGCAGCACTATGACACTGCCCTTGTCAGAGGGGAGACAAGCCCAGGTCACCTTGGTTCACAACACACGCTCTGCCTGGAGAACAGCGTGTGTCCTGAGAGCAGTGATGTGGCCAGGAGGCTGTGCACATCCTGCACTGCTCAGGATGCTCTCAAGAGGTGGCGAGAACAGCCGTGCTGGCATGTAGGTCCAATGACAGCTTCACTCCTGGACTCATCCACATTTCCCAACCATGCTGGTTTCATTATCCTGCCCCAGACTGGAGGTCAGTGCAATGGATGATGCGTGCCTGAACTCTGGGCCTTCATCCTCCCAAACCACCTCTACTGCCAGCATATCCATCCACTCCTGCTTCTGGATGACCTCCAAACAGGTTGACCTGCCCCCAGGCTGGCAGAAGCTTGAACAAGAAGCTCAACACAGCACACAGCACCAAGCAAACTTCTGGGTGAACCAGGAGATATGGGAGGCTCCTCCCCAGCTTCCTACTCCCCTCCAGCCTCATCCTCAGAGACATCCCAAAGGAATGCACCAGGCTGCCTTGCTGCTCACTGACCTCTGCCCAGAGCACAGCACACAGTGAACAGCCAGCCTTTACTGGGAATTCATAGACTTCTCAGCCAAGGAACCAGCCCAGATTTATCATCCTGGTCACAAACTGCAAGCTCAGCTGCTCCTGGACTCCAAGTTTCCTTCAGGAAACACTGCATTTCTTATGGAGTTTTACTTCCAGAAGAAAACAGGCATACCCAAGCAAGAGCCAGATATGATCCACATCCTCCTCATTCATTGCTCACTGCAAGAACACAGCCTTCTGAGCAAAGCACCAAGGAACTGCAACAGACACAGGGTCTTAAGGTCCCCACACTGAACACCCCTCACGTACTTGAGAGTGTCCATGAGGAGGGGTCAGAGGAAGAAGAGGCTCTTTTCCCTTTCACTCATTGCCTCTGGAGTTATGCAGCAGAAGTGGGATGCAGGTGCACATGCTTACCCTGCCCTACTGTCCTCCCTTCCCCAGCCAGCTTGGAGTGCCACAGACCCATTAAAGCTCAGTACTGAGCCAAGACGGGAGATGAGGGTCACACTCTGAACAGGAGGCTGGCAGTCCTGATGCAGGAGGACAATCATGGCAGCATGGCTTTCTTCTAGCTGCTTTGCAGCTGGAACCTGTCACATTAACAAAAGCAGGAGAATGAGCAAAGAGCATGACCCCAAAGGTCAGCAGCCAGGCTGTGCTCAGCCCTTTTCCAGATGTTCCCCCTCTCAACAGAGACTGCCTTTCCCAGGTTACTTACATTCTCCTCCAAACAGGGATTGAAAGAGTATGCCTAGGGCTCTGACTCACAAACTTTTGGATCTATAGAGGGATTTTTTACTAGCACACCACTCTTCTCCATCCTGCCTCTCTGTTGGGTGATACCGGCTCTCTAGTGTGCATGAACGGAGAGTAGGGTCTGCACAAATGGAGAGAAGGGTCATTCTCAGCCTGACTGGGTGTCTTTCCCATAGCCTTACTCTTTGTATTAACACCTGGCACTGTGCGACGCGGGCAGCAGAGGAACAGAGCTACTTTCTCATTTACCAGTCCATTCTGCAGGAATGGCTGGCTTCAACCAAAAAGAGATCAGAAAGCAGCTGGGTGAAATAACCTCTTCCTTTACCCCAGTATGAATCATTGGAGCCTGTGAGTCAGACCCCCTCTGTTCCCAAAGCTCTGCAAGTTACTGCACGCTTGCTGATCCGTGGTAACTGGCCACATGTGTACTCACAGCCACACGGCAATGGGAACAACAACCCATTAGCTTCGCCAGTGGAAATGCTCTAGTGACAAGATGCATGTGGCCAGATCCTGCAGCACAGCTGACATCTGGCACCCTGTATGGCTGGGTGTTTACAGAAAACAAAACTGCTACTGTAGGATATCCGCTGTGGGTTATTCCTCTTGTAAACAAACCTTTTGGTTAATCTTTCTATGAGTTCCTTGGAACTGGAATCTTTCCTACAAACAGAAGACAAGAACAAATCAAGAGTGTGTTCATCCTGCAACGTGGATAGAGCTCATCGAGGTACCAGCGCAAAGCAATCGTTTTGGTTGCAGTCCTGTTGAGTAACTCCAATAGAATGAACTTCTGCCACAAAACCCGCATCTGCCATCTGCAAGGGACCTCCCATCCTCACGGAGCCCAGTGTTAGCATGGCAAGGCTTCAGAGCGCCCCGGCTGGCAGGCACCTGCTTGTGCTGCCATTCAGTCACTGGCTCCTGTTCAGGGGGTCCTTCCTCTATGAGATCCCTGGAATTTCAATCACAACACCCTCCCACATAACATTTCTACCAAGTCTTGACTCATCTGAGAACTGAGGTCAGCCTGGTTCCTACTGAAACACAAGAGTTTCTGCAAAGACTCTTCACCTGCTCTCCAAATTGTTTTCCAGTACTAATTTTGCTATGGGCAGTTCAAGACAATGGCACAATTCCTGTGTTGCTGTCCTTATTAGCACTGACAACAACAAAAACCCTATGCACACACAATGTTTTCCTCACCACCAAGTCAAAATAAAAGAGAATGCCTGGAATTGCTGGGGAATTTAACCAACCAGATGCTTAACATTTCTCTGGTCTTTTCTCCGTGAGCCACCTCACAGAAGTACAGATGAAACACAGGCTGTGCCCAGCCTCACAGCCCTTCCCTTTCCAATGCACTGTTCACTCACCGTGCTGTCAAGGCCGGCGCATTGGCCTCCTGCTCTACTGCCTGTGTTTGGTCCCCTGTTCTGAGCTTTTGCACTGGTACTGGTAGGTTTGGCCCAGTTCTCCAAAGCCTACCATGGAACTGCAGGGTGTGCCTTCCAACCTGTGCTCAGTGGGACACTGCCTGTCTATGCTTTGATGTAAGCTACAGACATCTGAAAGAGATCCTGATGGTGCTTCTTCATAGGGGGACACCATCTCCCTCTGGAGGCCTCCAAGGGCTGTTCCACTGGCTACATCTGCAGTGGCAGTTTTTGCTACAGTTTCACAACTAAAGGGATAAAAATGTGAATTTAGGTTAAAGATGGGCCTTGGAAGGAAATCTTCCATCCTATCATCCCCTGAACCTCCTCTGTGCTGGCAATCTGAAATGCATGCTCCTGTCTGTGTCGCCTGAGTCCGGTTAAACATTTTGTTGGCTCCTCTTCTGCCTCCTGGTTTGAGAGGGGTCAGCATGCTTCATTTGCATGGAAATACTACAGTCTGGGAAAAGAGTACACCAATTCCCCTTGCAGTGCCATGCCAGCTGCTTGATTTGTGCCAGCCCCAGGCTCTTACATCAGCCCAAGCATGCCAGAAAAGCAGTCAGAGGCACAGCCACAAGCTGAAAAAAAAAGTGTCCATGGGATAATCAGCTGCCTGGAGTATCTACATAGTGGGATTGGATCATGGCATCTGCTCAGAAGTGTACTGAGGGAGGAATTCTTCTCTTCTAAAAGTCCTCTTGGGAAACCATCACCACATGCCCATTAGACCATGTAGCAAAAGCGACCTGTGATGAGAAAAGGTGTTCACAGCTTCCACCAATCCCAGCTAACCCAAATCAAAGTGGGATTTGGTTGAGAAGAACCACAGGCAACCTACCATCTTCCTCTGATGACCATACAGAGCAAACTGCGGGCAATCACTGCAGCAATACAAGGCAAGGAGTGGACTGCGTGTAAGTAATCCAGTTAGTAATAGGTGTAGTAATGTGCTCATGCTGTGTAAGTCCAACCCAGAAGGTTTATTTTCTTCGGTGGAAGTACAGAAAGAATCACTGCAATCACCTCTGATTCCACTCTGGAATCCACATCGGCAGAGGCACAGCAGGGCCCAGCTGCAGCCCTGCAGACCCGAGGCCGAGCCCAAGCAGCGCCATCCTCACTGCCCAGCTGTGCCCTATCTGCTCAGCCTCCAGCCCCTCCATCTTGCTCCCAGTAGAGGAGATGCCCACAGTTCAGGCAGTCCCCATCCCATCCATGCACGTAAGAGGCAGGACCATCCTGCCGATGTCTGTGAGGTGAGGCAGCCCCTGCTCCTGCACGTTGCAGAACCCCTTGGGCAGATCCAACCATTGTCAAGCAGCTGCTCTCTCTGCTCGGTGCTTCTGAGCTCTCCATCACAAAGCTATCCCAAAAGACTCCTCCCAAATTCCACAGAAGCAGCCGAGTTCTGATGTCATAAGCAGGAGACCTCGCTTCAGGTCAGCCTGCCACAGCATCTGTGCCCGCTGCCATCCTGGCAGATCACGGCAGAGCCACGGAAAAGCCCATGCCCAGGGCACAACAGAGCTGAACAGAGCTCTGTGCTCAGAGTAACAGAATGAAACAGGACAGGGGCACATCCTGCCAGCAGCGATGCTGGTGTGAAGCCAAAGCAGTCGCACAGTGTCACGGCATCAGGACCAAGCACAGAGCTGCATCCAGGCAAGCTGAGAGCTGAACTGTCTGCCAGATTGCTCCAGAACCTGGTCCAGCTTGTAACTTCTCTTAATGCTGATAAAACAAAAGTCCTGACAGAGCTGCTGCTCTGTTCAAATACATTGCCAGATAAACTACAGATAAGAAACAGCCAGGGATAATCCCTCCCTGATACCAAGACAGAGAACGAAATACCACTGCTCTGCATTACCATCAAATCTCCTGTATCTCTCCAAGACAGTTCTCACATTTCCTCAGCTTCCACTCCCCATTTACTCAGGAATCAAACGTTATCAGTTAGAGGCAATCTAAACATTTTATCCTAGCAACATCTTAAGCATTGCCTTGCTCATTCAGCAAGGAACAGTCAGATCTTCTCTAAAGAACAGCTCCATTTTGCTAATAAGCATATCAGCAGAGAGAAGGCTTATCATCCATGTCTTTATCTGCAACTTAATGCAGTTACCTCAAAAAGTGAGACTATAACTTAAATTAAATCTGTAAGAGAGTTGATCTGTCTCAAGAAGCAGTCCCTATGATCCTCCAAAATAGTGGCTTTTGATATTTACCTCAAGAAGAAGCAAGGAAACAACCCACCAAGCAACAGAACATAGCACACTATAGCCCCCAGAGAATGAACGCAACACCCCTCAATTACATAGCACTGTGGCAGGAGCTGAATTTAAAGAGTACACTGCCCTGATTTCTTGGGGCTCCGAATATTAAAAAAGCAGAGAAGCTCAGGAAGAAAGTAGACCTATAAGAGCATGTAATATGAATGAGATGCAGAGATTTGCACACTTGCCTGAGAGTCGCTCCCTATCATTTGCACCAATTCATGCAACCCACAAGTACTTTCCCGCTGACTGTCTTGCTTCTCTCTTCTTCCTTTAAGTAAAATTTGTTAAAAATGGGAAGTACCTTTTCCTGGGTCAGGTTCTCTTTCCCCTTTTTTCCCTTCTTTGTTCTTTTTGCTCTTTCCTTTCCCCTTTTTCTTGCTCTCGGACATTCTGCACAACTGTTTACAGTCTCAGGAAAAGACAGTCCACACCAGATCTATATGCCCCACAACTGCTACTCCAAATGTTACTTGCCAGCTGCAACTTCCGACTGTTCTTATATTGTTTCTGACACAGACAACACCCACCACTGGGTGGAGAAGCAGAACTTTAACCGTTTGCTCACTGCTCCCAGTTATCTGGAAGTATGCACTGGGTTCAGTGGGAGGGCCAGGGGAGCAGTGCTGCAGGATGGGAGCAACTCTCCTATGAGTGTAATGGACACATTAATTCCAGAGGTGTTCTGCCACTGCTGACTCTGCTTCTGACTGCAGATAAGTACTGAACAGCTTCTGGAATATTGCAGAAATGAGTGTTTGGGACAACTTCCAAGGTTCAGACCTCAGCGATCAGTGAGAAGCTGTGGGGTCCAGGGAAAGCACTAGAGGCTTGCAACCCATTCTCATTCTGCTTCAACCCAGCAGAGGGATTATGTTCACCTTTCTCCTCGTATTGCTGGTCCCACCATAAATCAGAGCTACTTCATCTGGCCTTGCATCCAGCTCTTTGCTGTCCCAGTAGGTCTTTCTAAAAGGTAGCAATAGCTGGTGAGACCCTTACCTGCATTTCTTGTATCTGTCCTCCCTCTCTGGGAGCTCTATGTGGCTGATTAAGCCCATGTCTCATCTGCTTGGGAATGAAAAAAGCCCTTCTCCACAGTTCCAACACATGATGAGTGACAGCCCAATCCCCTTCTGTAGGGCAGGCTGTGCTGACATCACCCCAAAAGTCCATTGGGATCCCCAGATGGAAAGCCCCAGAGTACTGCCAATTCACTCCCAGATGCAGCTAAGGGCTTCAAAGGGCCAAAGTGCCATGAGCCATAAGATACCGGGTAGCAGAGTCGATCTGGTTATCCACGAATTAAATCCAGCGTGAGTCAAGCACATCTTCCAGAAGCACTCCCTTCTGGCGCATGGGCATCAAGCAATGAAGGAGCTATCAGCTCCCTTGGGATCTTCCCCAGCGGTTAAACGCCCTCATTGTTAGAAATGTTTGCCTGCTTTGAAGTAGAATATCTGGCTTCACTGCCCAACCATTGTCTCTTACTCTGTTTTCTCCTCTAGATTAAAAACCCCTTCAGCAGTTGGTATTTTCTCCCATGGAAGTACTTACACGCTGTAATCAAGTTATCCCTCAATCTTATTTTTGATAAGCTAAACAGATGAAGCTTTTTTCCTTGCTTGCTGTACGGCTGTTTCTCCAGCTCAGGGATCATATCTGTGGCTATCCCATTTTGCAATATCCTACTTAAGCTAAGAACACAGAAAACAGGCACTATTCCATTGTCTTTTGTGTAGAGGCAAAAACAGAGTCAAATCCCTGCAACCATCTCTTCCTACCCATCTTAACAACTTCAGCCTCTGCATTTACGAGGAAATCTGTTCTGCCATGTTTCTATTGTTGCTCCCACCAAGTCCCACCTCTGAAGGACTCAGTTCCTCTGGTCTCTAGCCAGGATGAATTTCTTGCTCCTTCACAGCATCTCGCTCTGTGCTAAAGCTTCATTTCATCCAAAAACAGACAGCGCACCAGCCACTCACATCCTGCTTCTTTCTTCCCACTGCCGCTTGAAACGCCATCAGTCTCCATGTCACCTTGCTAATTTCACCATCAGTGACTTCATGTTCTGCTCCAGCTTGCTGGGGACAATGATCTCACCAGAAACACCGCACAGAACAGAGTCTGCCTGCCAGAAATGACTTTTTGGTACATGCGAGTTGAACTTCCTTTCCTGCATGTGTGATACATTTGAAAACTTACAACATTTACGTTCCATTATTTTCCTGTTGGAATGTAGGACATCACCACGCTGAGTGTATTATATAGTGTTATGAGAAGCCGATGGGTACATGTGGGAGAGAACCTAAGCAAACTTGCTTTGAACTCTTAGATAAAAGCTACCAAGCCTGCTGCTTCAGAGTTTGAGCCTAATATACACTGGTAAATATCCTCTGTGGAGTTTCAGTCAGAGGATAGTAGCCCACCATATGGTTTCTTTCCAAATGCAGGATATAGTGATGACCTGTTAGTACCTTCCAAGTCACTGCAAATGCCAATTTTCTTGTGTTTATTTCAGTAATTGACTCATAACCATACTCCACATTATTAATATATTTCTAGAGCTTCTTAATTCTGTAGCTGTGCCGGAGAGGAAATTTCCCTCTTGATGTTTATAGCCTGCCTTCCATAATCTGTAGTTCCAGATGCATGTGTATTTCTACCTATTTTTCTCTTTTCTAAATTTGTTCATGTTTATTGGTTCCAGTTGCTGCTTTCACTGCTACCAAGCTAGAAGGCTTATTAGCCAAACCTGTTCTCTTTCTTGACTCGGAAATTTCAACTGCCTTGGCAGCTACTCAAAGAGCTCTCTGTCTTTACCAACATTTTCCTGTGAATGTTTAACACTCAATCCATTTCATTCAGTTTTCTTCAGTCTTGGGAAATCCACTTCTTTGAATGCTCAGGAGTGTCTTATATATGTTGAGGAGCCGCCCCTGCTAGCCCAGATGAATGGAACCCCGTCACATGGTCACTGGCCCCATGTCAACCACCAGTGATTAATTCAGCCATTACAGTGAATAAGCCAGCACCCATCAGACATAATAAGGCCCAAACAGTCTTCTCTTACTTCCGTATGATAATTTAGCATTAGATCCTAGTGCAGTTTTGAGACACTGTGATGCTTTACTGCTGGTAATAGGACTATTGCTAGCATGTTTCCCTCCCTCCTTTCCTTTCTTCTGTAATTTTATTTTCATCTTGAAATATCTTTTACCACAGGTTCTAGTTAAAGGCACAAAGTCTATGTTTATTTGGAATCATCTTTACAAACACTTTTGCTTGGGGGAGGTTTGTTAAGGCTAACACTGCAGCAGACACACTTTTTTTTTTCCCCCTTCTTCTTTCAAATTAATGAATAATCAAGCGTTTTCTGTCACTGAACAGTGCTCAGAGGGTGAAGCTACCCACCGTGATGCACAGCTGCAGCAACAGAAGATGAAAATGCCCGAGGTCCAAGAAGCAGAGGTGCAATTGCCTAGCATGGCACCACTGCCACAAGCAGCCTGGAACATAGGATGGGGAGTAACACCACCAGCAACACCCAGTGTGGGTATTTTTGTACTCTGGCAGTGATCACAGCCTCACCTGTGGCAGACATGGAATATTATATGCATAACAATTTTTGTCTTGGCAGGTGCACATCTTGTATGTCCTGTTATCTTATCCAGCAGGCTGGCCTCTGTCCCAGGGCAAGGATCCACCCCTCTAGATCCAGCTTTAGCATCACAGATGTATGGAATACACTCCTGAATAATCCTGACACACAAACATATGGGCTAAATCCAGTAAGCAACTTCAGTCCTCACGTGAATACACTTACATAATAAAACCTAAAATCTGAAAGGTATTTCAGTCGTGCTGTCCCAAGTGCCTCATCTGACAGTTTGCCTTAATGGCTGTACTTTAATACTTCGTTCTAAAATAGCACTTAGTGCTTCTTTTTTTAAACAGTCTTGCAAGAGTTACAACCCGAAACACTACCAGCATGTATTTTTTTCCTAGCTTTTACAATTCCTGTACAACTTCAAGATTAAGAAGCAGGAGATGTAATTATATAAAAGACTGAGCCATACCGTAAGCACAGCTGATTCTCACATGAAATTCAGCGTAGCGACTTTGCAACACACTGCCACACTGCGAGCAGCAGTGAGTTTACCAGGCAGAACGTCTTTATCTTCAATACAATTTGCCTATATGCTAACCTAAGAAGTCTGGACTCTGTCATGATCCCCAGGAGGGCAGAACCAGGTGAAAGAGAACCTCCCTACCTCTTCCCACACACAGCATCCATTGCAGTCAGCAGCTGTAAAGTGACTTCTTCGAACAGAAATCCCAGCTCAGCTCAGTGGAGAACGGAGTCCGCAGCTAAGAGTCATGCTGCTGCATTGCATTCTGCCTTCTTTTCTGGGAGGATATAAGGCACCACTCCCAGTGCAGAACAGCAGTGTGCTCTCCAGGGGAAAACAGCGTAGCTTGCAACAGCAAGGTCTGCCTGGAAAAAAAATTACTAATACAACAGCCCCTTGCCGGATGGAGATTAGAAAAAAAAAAAGGCAACAAAGAGCTAACCCATCTGTGCGACTTGATATTGCTGAAACCCAGCCAGCAAGCCCACCCCAGCTCCTCCGGTCTCCAAATTTCAGAAGCAAAGGCAGGCGCACACGCTCTACAAGCTTCTGGGACTGTATTTATGGCAGCAGTCTTGGGAGCACAATGACCCATTTTAAATCGGAGCATTCTCAAAAGCTTTTGGTATTGACTTAACTCTGCTCTCACTGCTATCACCAGGAGGTGGCCATCATCTTCAGGGGAACCTCTGTGCCACACTACGTGGTCCATCCTGGAACTGCCACCTCCCATTTAACAGTGCAGTTGACACAAAATTGGTGGTAGCCAGAAATACTTACACATTATTTCTAGAGAAGTAGAATAAGGAAAGGCGCTGCAGGACCATACCTATCAGCATCCTTTTGCCTTATCAAGGCAATATGCTGAATACTGTTTCTCCATTACCCTGCTTGTACATAACACTGCAGGCTTGACAGAAAAACGATGGCATCATGAAAGCAGCAAAGCTCGAGCTCCTGTCCACCTTAAGCTGGAGGGGCAGCTGTTTGGAGATAAACGAGAAGCTTATCTATTGGAAAGCAGCACAGCTCCCCTGACATTGAGGTTCAGACAGCACCTCCAGCACCACGGTCAAAACCAAACCCCAAGGTTATCTACTCCAATCAAGTCTCTGGTGCTAGAAGGAAGGCTTTTGGCACTGGCCGCATCATCAGCTCAATAAAAGCTGTGCTACATCATTGTCTGCTGGAATCTATTTTTAAATGAAAAATATCATCCTTTTTGCACCACTTGCTGCCATATATTGCCATTCAGGTAACAAAAAAAAAACACACAGCAAGTACACCTATTTATTTCTTCTCTAAAGGCACATGTAAATTCCATCTGAACAACAGCTGATGCCTCTCTGTTGTACAAATGGCATTTTGCCAGATTGATGCTCCCCAGCCCGTCCTTACTCCCACTGCACTGCAAACAGCACTGTAACAGCACAGCTCTTGCAGATGACAGACAGAGACCTTACCCAGCCAGCCCAGGCTGGGTATATTTCATCTTGCATCTTCTTTACCTATTCATGCTTCAGGAACGAAATCCTCATCCTGACATGATTTATCACGTAGCACTTATGTTTTATAATCGTGGACATTTTTGCTCACAGAAGTTAGCGAGTGTTATCAACTTATTAAAACCTGGCTGCATTTGCCTCTATAAGCAGACAGGATGAAAGCAAAGCCAGTGCTGACTCATGTCCCAGAGATGGCCTCTTCCACTCCCACCACGCTCAGCAAACCTGCCTTGTAGACATTAATGACAGCAGTCACAAGCCCAGCCTCTGTTTTGCAGCTTCATGTGAAAGCCTGACGTGGGGCAGACAGCACTTTTCTGCAGGAGATGGCTGCTGGGAGCACTTCTGTGCAGTGCATCACCATGGCCATGACCCAGCAGCAGCCAGTCTGGCCGCTGTGCTTACCCTACTGATAGTCAGAATGACCGCAGGCACCCACCACAGCCATGGTGGCACCAGCACTGAGCCTGGATGAAGGCTTCACCTGCTCCTTGGAAGCAGCAGCCTGGATATAACCAAGGGCTTATATCTTCCTTTTCACCATGATGCCCCTGCAATCAATACCAATTTTCACACAGAACCAATGAGCAGGGCCTCCTGCAGGCATCGCTAGTTCTAAATCTTTCAAGTATGTCTGGCCAGAAAAGGCCGAGAGGACTGGGGGAAAATTCCATGAATTCTTATGTTCTCATTTTCTCTGGGCACAACTCTGCTGGAGCGCTGAAGGTCCCAGCAGGTTACAGCCTCCCATAAAGAAATCAGAAAGTTACTTTTAGGAATGTTTGCATTGAAGTGATAGGATGAAACTTTCACCACTTAGCCCATTGCCTATGCAATGAGTCGGTCTCACACTGGAGGAATGTAAGCAGTCACAGAGCCCCTGCATGTGGACATTGCTCACCTGAGTGGATTTGAGTGATCTGCTGCCACACACTGTGCCAGGTCCATACATGACATAAGGAGGTCTACAGGAGGTTCTGCTGGCATGTGATGCGCTAACTTGTGTATCCTGATCCATCATGCACATATCTGTTATCTCCTTAGCCCTACCATCCAACACCTGTTGCCCAAAGCCAGGAGATGCTCAGCAAAAGTGTGTCCAAGTCATAAGATAAAGCCAATGACCAAGGAGAGAAAAGGCACATCTGATGTGTTTGTTCTACTAGTCAGAGACAACTAAGATAGGAGAAAGGTGGGACAGGAAAGACTGAGGCCCTCTGGGACAAGAACAATCAAAAGTTGCTCTTGTAGCTTCTAGAGACCTGATCTTGGGCAGGATGGGAAAATGCTCACAAAGCTCCATGAAGCAGGGGATGCCCAGTCTCCTCTCAGCATGGCTTCTGTTTCAGTCTGGTTCTGTGCCAGCACCAGAAAGTGCCTGTGCAAAGTCCTATCAGTGCCATACCGACCGAGTCTCACCACTCTGAAAGGCTCAAGGACCCTGGCTGTAATACCTAAGCTCTGCTTTACAGAATATTGTTTAATTACGCAATTAAAGATTACATCTCTATCTGACTGAAAGGATTCTTCCCCAGAAACATCTTCTGAAACCTCATAAGACCAAGAAAAGCAGACACATCACTGACTGCTGTGCTGTGAGTAGAGAACACAATCAGATCGTTGACTACATTACATAGGACAGGTGCTGGTCTGTGTTGTATTTGCCTGGTTGAAATGTGCCTGAAGAAACAAAATGATTGGATCTGCCACGTTGAATTCAATGCAGGAGTAAAAAAAACCACCCTTCATCATGGAGTCTTTTTAGGGAAGAAAGTGCTGATGACATCTCCATCCCATGGTGAGGCAACACTAGAGAATGCGTACTCCTAAGGAGGCTCTGCTGGCACCACTACCATGGCCATCTGTACCAATTGCTTTGTGTGACTGGCAGAAAGCAACAGAGCAGTGCCACAGCTGCCAGCTCGGCTCGTCATGATCCAGTGAGAGAAACAGGTGTCTGGGGTTCTGCCTGTGGGAAAAAAGAGAAGGAGCTAAGGCAATCACAAGAATAGCTGCATGATCTCCCTGGACAGGGACCAGAGAAGACAGGTGATGCTCAGCACAGAAGGCTGGCCTCAGAGGCTGAGTGGGGAAGAAAGTGAGGACAGAATCACTGGTGCTTCCGGTAAGTACTCAGAGTAAAGAGACACTGACTACTCATCCAGGTAAGGCTTAGGCATCCTCCATCCCACCAGGACTTCATGGGAGTGCTGAGGACACAGAAAATCAAGTCTCTGCCTGCTTGGGGCTGCTTTAGGATCAGCTCAATGCAGAGAGCATTTTCTTTGCATAATATCTCTAACCCAAAGGAGAAAAGCCTCAGGAATTGTTCATGAATTTGCAGCAGGGAAGATGCAGCAGCAAATTTTTCTCTTCAACAAGCTGGCTCTTGGACAAGCACAAGAGGAGCCATCTCCATGCATTGATTGCCTTTCTCTTCTCACAGCCACTCCAGATATTTGGCTCCTTCAGGCCAAAAGGAGGCTTCCTGCCTTCACCAGCCTACTGACCTCTCTCTGCCTTAGGTCAAAGCCAATTCATTCCTGCCTTGGTCATGATTGCACAGACAAGGCTGCCTCCTTCACCAGCAGATACCTGGGAGCAGAGAGATCAGCACTGCTTGGTATTACAGTCTGCTACTGAGCTTGTAATCTGCTCACACAGCCGGGGCTCTCTCAGAATTACTGCTTCCCAAACAGCTCCTTCTCATTACACAGCTCTGCCTATAATTGTTCTTGCCCAAAGGTAATAGCAGTGTTTCTTGCAGATTTAAAACTGAGATTATCCTTTTCTGCTCACTGTCAAAACTCTCCGTCTCATCTTTTATTATCTTCTCTCTCAGGCATTTGCAATGCCCTTTTGAGATCCCAACGTGGGACTTTTCCCCACTCCCTCCATGTTGCCATCTGCACAACACATAGCAAAGCAGAGGCTGTTCGCCAGGGCATCATCTCCCCTTTCACCCTTGCCAGATGAGTGCTCGGTGCGGCCACTCCTCCCTCCATCAATCCTCTTCCCATATTGCGAGCTATTCCAGTTAATTGGTGCTCCAGTCTCCAGCAAGGTCTACACCACACCACAACACACTGCGAAGGGTTATCCACTGTCTTCCCCAGTCCACTAATTGTGTAATTATGCAGAAATGGCCTGTCTGGTACAATCTATTTCTCATACTCCCCTGTGGTGCTTGTTGCTTACAATGCTCATTATTTCTCTAAGTATTTGCAGA